GCAGGGTGCCACCAGAACTGGTTGCCACCAGAGCAGGATGCCACCAGAATAGGTTGGCACCAGAGCAGGGTGCCACCAGAACAGGATGCCACCAGAACAGGTTGGCACCAGAGCAGGGTGCCACCAGAACAGGTTGGCACCAGACCTGGTTGCCACCAGAACAGGTTGCCACCTGAGCAGGGTCCACCAGAACTGGTTGCCACCAGAGCAGGGTGCCACCAGAACAGGATGCCACCAGAGCAGGGTGCTACAAGGCCATTTTAGGAGGGGGCGAAAACTTGGTTAGCTTGTGAAGGAATTGTAAAACTACTAATTATTATGTTAAAATGCTGATTTGCAGTTAGTGAATAAGCTAAAATGTTGCACAATTAACTGTTTACTTCTGTTGTATTATATGGTAAATTGTATCTGCTTACTTCTGTTATAAAATACTAGAATTTATGACCCGATGTTACCGGGATAATAAGGTAGGCATATTTGCGATAATTTCTACTTGCTGTTAAAATCTCAACATCTAAAAATCCATTTTTTGCATATTATGTAAATAAATAGAATTTTGATGTAATTAATCCTTAAAAATATACGACAAAATTCAGCTCTCTTATATGGTATATGTAGGAAATAGATACTTAAACATGCTTTAATTATTTTAAAAAATCGAATTAAAGATCTTTTATTTTGACACATCATCGGGTTTTGAAAAAAAAATTGCTAAATAGTATAGGCAAACTCAACAATTTTTCAGGACTCCGAATTACAAAGTAAACAAATCTTCTAAAAATTGTTTTAAAAAACAAACCAACAACATATCCATCGTTTAAAAATTATGTATGTACTATTTTAAATACATTTTAGCACTTAGGATTTTGATATATATTTTAAAGTCATTAAAAATTTGCTTCGCTCATGAACTATACTGTCTGAAGATCTTTAAAAACAGAATTCTAAATTTCAAGATGAATGCAATTTTGAAGTCTAACAGTATTGTGGTTTTTTAAGAATTATTCTTTATCGCAAACAAATTTCCCATGCCCCTGAAGTGTATTTTGCTCAAGATGGAAAATTTTTCCAAAGACAATTGTAAATGTACTTGTTCAAGTTCAAGACCCCTGAACTGCATTTTTTCAGTAATCAATTTTTAGTTACATTTCTTTATTTAATCATGAACTTTCCATACATCCATCCATCTCTCCCTGTGGCGCTACAGCCCATGTAGGGCTTTCGCCTGCCTCCTCACATCCTTCCACTCAGAACTAACTGATTAAATTTCCACATCTGTAAAATGTTTGGGTTATTAGCAGAGGCGTAGCGAGGGGGTGCAGGGGGGGAGGGACTTATGTCACCGGGCGCAAGCTAGTTAGGGGCGCCAAATGGGATTTGATATTATACTATTGATAAAAATAATGTGTTTTAGAGTTGAAAAAAAGAAAAGAGGCGCTTTAAAATGAATCTTGTCCCCGGACGCCAAACACCCTCGCTACGCCTCTGGTTATTAGATATTGTTAACCACACAAAAATGTCCCCACCCCGCAATATTACCTTTACAGTGTACAGTAGGGTTGGGGAGTAAAGGTGGAAGGTAAGAGTGGAAGTTAGGGTGAGGGGGGGTAGGGGTGAAGGGTAGAACGTAGTTAAATTTGTTTTATACCATGCGACATTAGTTTAGGTCAAGGGGATCAACTTGGTCAAAAGCCATCAGTTCTGTCAAAGGGCACTAGTTTGGTCATCTCCCTTCCCAACAGTCAAAGGGTGGCAACTTTCACATTAATCAAATGGTCTCATTAAATCATTTACTAGATAAATTATCAAAAAGCTTTTAGCGTGTCTGTCTCTTATGCTCAGTAAATTTGTAACATGATGTTTCTGTATAAAAGCACGTAACATTTGCCAGCCGTGTATGTCTTCATAACATATGCCAGCCGCGAGAACTTCATTTTTGCAGTCCGAGTAGAGTTTAACCATGGTGGACAGGGCAATGATCAAGTAAGTTTTATTTTTTATTTTTTTTTTTGCTGGCATCCGTCCGTCACAATGTGACAATGGAGTGGGCTTTGGAGGACGGAATCCACATGGGCTGGGATTATTCTTCAAGGATTATAAGATGTTTCCCAACAGCAAATCGCCTCTCTCCACGCCGCTGGATATCTCAAGCTAACATCATTGGATGATACAGCTTGGCACCTGTGACGTCGCAGGAGTTGTCAGAATGTTTCATTGTATCAACGTTATCGGCCTTTCGGGACTCCATCTCCGGGTTTGATTTCAGAGTTTCCTTCTCTTAGATGAGTTGCCATCCAAGGTTAACGAGTCCCATCCACCCGAAGTGCTGGTGATGTTTTGGCTTGACTGGGCTCTGGAATTGAACTCCAGACCACTAACTTGAGATTTGCTCAGTTTAGACCACCCAGCACCCGAAAGTAAGTTTTATATCTACTCTCTAGCCGTGGTAGACCGGGCAATGATCAAGTAAGTTTTATACCTACTCTCTAACCATGGTGGACAGGGCTATGATCAAGTAAGTTTTATACCTACTCTCTAACCATGGTGGACAGGGCAATGATCAAGTAAGTTTTATACCTACTCTCTAACCATGGTGGACAGGGCTATGATCAAGTAAGTTTTATATTTACTCTCTAACCATGGTGGACAGGGCTATGATCAAGTAAGTTTTATATTTACTCTCTAATCATGGCTATAATCAAGTAAGTTGTTTTTATGTTGCATATCTTAACATTAATGATAAAGTTTAAAAGTTGAAGTGTTGACATCTAAACATAAGTATGTGATACATCCCAAGTCAAACTGAACATATGCCAAGTAATATTAATTACTAATCAAAGTCATTTTGATACTTTCCCAATTACCTTTGGTAAAATCCCGACCATTGGGATAATATCCCAAGTAATATTGATAATAGTCCGGGTAAAATTGGTAATCCCAAGTAACATTGATAATATCCTATTATAAGAAGTACAGTTATTTTTAAAATATATAGACCCTAATTAGCTATACTTAAATATCTTAGTATCAAATTATATACTGTACGTATACATTTGACCTACCAAGGGAGTTCACCCAAATGTGCATCATCCTCACTTACATTCCACCTAATGCTAACAAAGAGCAGACTACGGAGAGACGTTAGGATGTAATCCATGATTTCGAAACAAAAAAAAACCCAGACTCCGTCTTGTTATGGGGGACTTAAATCAACTATCACCGGATAAATCCATGCCTACATAATCCAGTATGTTACTTGCCTACTCTAGACATGTGTTATGGTAACATAAAAAAGGCCTGCACGTCTCGGGGTTTATTTCCATTAGGAGAATCCGATCACACATTGGTCCGCTTAACGCCATGCTACACACAATGGCCCGCCGTACGCCATACTACACACAATGGTCCGCTTAACGCCATGCTACACACAATGGCCCGCCGTACGCCATACTACACACAATGGTCCGCTTAACGCCATGCTACACACAATGGCCCGCCGTACGCCATACTACACACAATGGTCCGCTTAACGTCATGCTATAAGCCAGTTTTAAAAACAACCAAAATCTCAAACAAAAACTATTGAGCTGTGGTCAGATGAGGCGACAGAAGAACTTCAGGCCTGCTTGGAATGTACAGACTGGGTCACGTTTGTAAAAACTTGCCCGGACATTGACGAGCTAACAAACACCATCAATTCCTACATTAAGTTCTGTGTAGATGAAATCATCCCCCCAAAAACCATCCGAGTATTCAACACCAACAAACCCTGGATGAGCAGAGAAATAAAGGAGGCCACCCACCTCAAGAAGAACATGTTTAAGATTAATGATCAGGAGTTCATTAAAGCTAAAAAAATTATTGAAGGAAAAAAGAAATCCCTACTAACAAATCAAAGGCTTGTTGTACTGGTACCCGGGTGCGAATGGCGGCGCTGCGTGTCTGAGTCCATTTTGACTCGGTGCTATTCGGATGTCATGTGTGGTAGTTTATTTTAGTTAAACTGAAGAGGTAAGTTTACAAACATATAGTCCATTCAATTATCTTTCATTTGATACCTCATGTTGTCTTACAAACCCAACAAAAATATTTTAAATCGTTTTTTAATCCCAACCTCTCACTTCAGGTACCCGAGTACGAAATGCCACTTCGAATTAATATAATTTTTATTTCTATATACTTTATTTTGCATTTTCTATATTAACTAATTAAATCGAATATTCTTAGTATCACTAGCTTTGGTAGCGTTTTTCCTTCCATACTGGTCTTCAGTCCTTTGTTACGTATTGTTCAACACACGAGCCCATTCTTTAAACAGATTAAATTAGCGAAACCATCTATCGTTACGTCACCAATACCTTGACATCACAGTGTACATCACACATATGTATCAAATTATTTCTCTGCTCTTCGCAACATTTCAGGTACACAAATGGAATCAAACACCTGCCGATCATTATTAAATCGTTTAATAAGGCAACACGGACAGTTGTCCATAGACATCCAGGGTTGTCATATGATTCCTACTGTGAGAATGGTAGGTCACGTGTTGGAATTTGATGATATCGCCAAAATATAATTTTATCATACGAAGTTATTATTGGATGACGTCATTCGAAATTATTAACTAAATTGATTAGAAAACATTTCTCCGAAAAAATTCTTTCCCGTAAAGGAAAATAAATATTCAAATGCTTTTTCTTATTTTTCATATTTCCATATCTAGAAAATCCTTCTATTTCCAATAGTAATAGTTTTTCTATGGATTAATAAATATGTATCCAATAATATCTTACTTTTCTATTTAAATGACTAAAATATTTGTCATTCTAATGCTTTTTCTAACTTTTGATAACTTCCTATCCAGGACATTCTTCCATTTGAAAAGTATAACTATATTCAGCATGTAAAATTTCTCCAATACTATCTTACTTTTCTATTTCAATTCATAAAACGTGTCATTCTAATGCTTTTTCTCACTTTTCATAACTTCCTATCCAGGAAATCCTTCCATTTCCAACCTTCTTAGTCTCAAGTACTCCTCACAGCACTTCGCCCTCACGAAGCCTTACAATGACCAGGGGGACATGTGCTTCTTTGACATCTTCAAATACCTCAAGCAGAACGACATTACTATCTTCATATACAACATACAACTTCTGGTCAACCGAGAATTTTACGACATCAACATCTCCAAGCACAACCTGGACATTGAGTTAAGCCCCCTTGGCAGATCTTCAAGAGGATTGTCTACCTTGACAAAGATGTTCAGCACCGAAAAAGAACATCTTCTGTGCACAAGTCTTCTCACCATGTGTCCGGTCATCGTCTCAAAAAGGAAAAAAGCTGAGTTTTCAGAAGAACTGAAATCCATCTATCCAGAAAATCCAAAATTACAAGCCTACGAGATCCAGTTCTTTACAAGATTTGATCAGGCCTTTCATCTCCGAAGCACAGTTCCGTACAACCAAATTGACTTTAACTATCACATCGGATTCTATTATTACGTTGACCACGTGATGAACGCGATTTTTACCGCCTTGAAAACGAGTGACGCCTTTCGTCACGTGACCCTGGCTGACACGCAATGCGGTTTGAGTAAGTTGGAGGTTGTCTACCTTAAGGAGTGTTTCCTGGGAGATGACCTTGACATTTATGTATGGGAGCATCTTGACCCGGAGTGTAAAGATTTAGATAAAATTGAAGATTTGTTAACAGACGATAAGTCTGACGGCCAACATGTTTCGACCAAGCCAGGGTCGGGCGAATACAGCGTCCCTGTCAGATGTTTGATTGAGGTCAAATCTAAACCAGTTTTCCAGGCCGTTTTACAGTTCCATAAACATGTGAATACGTCAAATACACATGTGTAGTTAGGGCTTTAGCACATGTGTATTTGGGGCTTCAGCACATGCCTAGTTGGGGCTTTAGTACATGTGTAGTTGGGGCTTAGCACATGTCTAGTTGGGGCTTACCACATGTCTGTTTGGGGCTTAACACATGTCTAGTTGAGGCTTAGCACATGTCTAGTTGGAGTTTTACCACGTGTCTAGTTGGGGCTTAGCACATGTGTAGTTGGGGATTAGCACATGACTAGTTGGGGCTTACCACATGTCTGTTTGGGGCTTAACACATGTCTAGTTGAGGCTTAGCACATGTCTAGTTGGAGTTTTACCACGTGTCTAGTTGGAGTTTTACCACGTGTCTAGTTGGGGCTTAGCACATGAATATCTGAGGATTTATCACATGTGTAGTTGGGGCTTAGAACATGTATAGCTGGGGCTGTAGCGCTTGTATAGCTGGGGCTTAGCGTATGTATAGCTTCAACTTCAACATATGAGTTGTTGTGACTTTAGCACCTGCACAGCTGTGCCTTGTACTTGTACACGTGTGTATTTGGTACTCCCAATTAAAACCCCTTTAGTCATACAATAAACACATTATGTTTAATGTTAAAAATTAAGTGAATTTAAATGTGTAACCTTAAGATTGTTTCAATATCAAAATGTTGACAGTGAACCCTTGATCCAGCGTATGACATTGACAAATTGTTTACTCGAAATTCTCCACTATTAATAAGAGAAATTATTGATGTGCATACTTCCCCCAGGAAACACACAAGTATGTTTGTCATTGGGTTTACCATCTGCTTCCCGATCCACTACTACGTCATACCTCCATCCATCGATAGCCAAATTTGAACTTTTTAGAAGCTAATGTAATGAAGATTTTAAGTTTCCATTTCCTGATAATTAAACAAGCATCAATAGCCCAGCCGGTACGTCTGAAGGGGCCAGGTGTTCACTCAACTTGGCACAGCTGGGAATTTTTCAACCTGTTAACTATATTTTTGTTTTGAAAGAATTTTTAAAAGTTTGCTGGCGGTGTTGTAACACTAAAAATTGAATAATCTTTTTCTGACTTTAAATTATAGAAATAAAAATTGACAGCAAAATTGTAGTTTTCTCTTTTTTAATGGCTTCCTTTCAATTTCATTATTATTAAATGTCATTTTATGTTAGTGTATTCATTATAAATCAAAGTGTCACTGTACTGCACTAAACATAAATGTGTGTCATTGTACTTCATTCAACATCAGTGTGTCACTGTACTTGCTGGTAATCAGTGAGTCACTGTACTTGCTGGTACATCAGTGTGTCACTGTACTTCCTGGTACATCAGTGTGTCACTTTACTTGCTGGTACATCAGTGTCACCGTACTTGCTGGTACATCAGTTTCACTGTACTTGCTGGTACATCAGAGTGTCACTGTACTTGCTGGTACATCAGTGAGTCACTGTACTTGCTGGTACATCAGTGTGTCACTGTACTTGCTGGTACATCAGAGTGTCACTGTACTTGCTGGTAAGTCAGTGAGTCACTGTACTTGCTGGTACATCAGTGTGTCACTGTACTTGCTGGTACATCAGAGTGTCACTGTACCTGCTGGTAATCAGTGAGTCACTGTACTTGCTGGTACATCAGTGTGTCACTGTACTTGCTGGTACATCAGTGTGTCACTGTACTTCACTGAACATCAGAGTGTACTTGTACATCATTTTATATCATTGTCATTGTACATAATTATGTCATTGTACATCAACTAGATCATCATACCATAGACAAGATTTAAGTATGTGAACTTTTATACTTTAATCTTCTTTTACATTTACTTACGTTTACAGAAATGGTGATGGAATCACTTGACACCAGTGTTTTAAAAAAACTACTTCCGTCTCACTGACTTGCTCTCAGTTGAGAAGAGAATGTTGGCAAAATACAATCAAACTTGGTGTTAATCATAAAATTTATTATCAACAGTTATGTCCTGTTGCTAGCACTTTGAGACTGAACGGATGCCAGTAAAACAGTCATTAGCTAGTCTGACCATCATTCAAATAGTCTAACCATCATTCAAATAGTCTGACCATCATTCAAATAGTCTCACCATCATTCAATTAGTCTCACCATCATTGAACTACTTTGTCCCTACAGGCGTTAAGTACATCAATTGTAAGCTCTTTGACTTATTTCCAAACATTTATCATTAAAGAACCTGTGCTCTTTATCACTGTCTTTACTAATAGTTCCCAGTGTGGATGGACACAGAAAGAAGTCATATAGAGTTCCCTCTTTTCAAGATATTGCGCACAAATTATGGAACAGTTTGCCACAGTAATTGAAGGAAATTAGAAATTATAAAAAATCATTTGAGAGACATTTAAAGACTTTTTTCTTTAAATATATTTTATGACATTAGAGCCCATTGACCATACTAGAATAGCATGGAGACAATCGCTATAAAAGTCTCAATCATCATCGCCTTCATCATCAACTCACAAGTTTTCTTTTTTTTTTGGCCAATTCATTGTTCTTCTCATAATTATGTAGTCAAAAACAATTTTCTAGTCTATAATATCTAATTTCTTCTCTGTATATAAATCTACTGACAGATAATGTGACAGATACTGTTTTAAGTATCAGAGTGTGAGAAGTTCAATCTGTCACTAATCTACTCTTTCCAATGTCTCATTAGTGGCCATTTCAAACATCTCGCAGTGGATGTCAGCTCAGTCATTCCTAAAATAGACTGGGATCAGGAAGAGGACTGTGAAAATGGACGTGGTCAGTAAGACCAAGTAAACTAAAAACAGAAACTTGTCCACAACTTCGGCCACGTAAAACCACCTTCTCTTCATCAGGTACACCCTGTCAATACTGGACTTAATTAGAGGGCCGGCACTCTGTGTTGTCACGGTGCTGCCGGGTGATGCAGAGTTGTCTCCCTTCGATGGCCCTGCCTGCAATTTGGCCTTCCTGAGTCTCATCTCTGTCTCACCTTCGCTCTTGAGTCGAGGAGTCTTGTGAGGATCGTAACAGTGGACTCCATCTGTTGTACTCAGGCTGGCTCTAGGGTCAAGGTCAGGCTGATCTGTCCCTTCTCCTGGACTTCTCTTGATTCCTTTTTTTTTAGCATCATTCACCATCATATGATTCTCTTGAGTTGTGGCTATAGCTGGGGATAAAGTTGGGGATAAAAATGGTGGTGTGCTGTTCAAATGTGTGTTCTTTTCATCCTTGTTGAGACGAGATGTGCTCTCACCTATTGCTTGAGTCATTTCATTTGAAGTAACTTTCTTTGCATTGCTCTGCTCCTTATTCTTGTTAGGATCTTGGGGGGAGGAAAGAAATTGCAGGTGGTCAGTGCCCATATATGGTGTGCAGACAACTCTGCCAAAGACGTAATGACATAGAGAGAAAAGCCATACGGGGACATCAGGACAAGGACTGTCATCTCCCCTTTTTTTGATGTTCATTACAATGGTGGCCATGATGAGGGAAACACAGTTGAAGGTCATCACAATCAACATGAAGACCCCTGAAACGAATGAGTTCAAGGTCATCACAATCAACATGAGGATCTCTGAAACAGATGCAAATCTGAACAATATTTTTCATGGATTATCAGTTCATATGACACTGTGTGTCACATTAGTTCACATGACCCTTCTTATCATTTCAGTTCATATGATACTGGGTCTCACATTATTTAAAATGACCCTTTTTTCTTGCATTATTTTATATGACCCTTCTCACATTATTTCATATGACCCTGTGTCTCACGAGGAGTTAAAAACTTTATCTGATACTAGTGATATTTTGAGATGTTGAAAAATACATAATTTAGAAAAGAAACATTAGGCTTTTACCATAGTGTTGTGGTTGCTGAATTAATTTTTTTGTTAAGAAAATGTTCTGATAATTCAAAATCCATAAGTTTATCTTAAGTTTGAATTAGAATTTGTTGAGTCTTACCTAAGATGGGTGTTGAATTAGTATCAGGTACATTGTCAGCTATCCTGAGCTGCAGGACGTACAACGTGAGAAACACTGTCAGTCCTATGGCCATCTTCTCACCTCTGTCGCATGGTAGGAGGAAGGAGGCCAAGGTGAGGACACACAGCATTATTGTAGGGGCGATAACTATGTAGTCGTAGTACAGCGACTTCCTGCGTAGTTCGATCTTCAGCTCTACCATGCTGTGTCTCCCGTTTCCAGGACAACACGAACTGCCCAAAACCCCGCGGGATATGCTGACATTTTTCAAGTCGTATCTGCAATTCAAAACTGTCCAAATAAAAATACATTCAAAATGTGACATGTAATAATCACAGTTGCAAAATAACTCTTACAGAGGAGGTGTTCCGAAAAAATTTTCGAGTCAAGTAATGTGACATTAATTCTTTTCTTATAACTATGTCAAATTTAACAATCATAAGAGCGAAGATTTTGTATAAATCCTTTATATGCATTTTGGTTGGCATAATTTATGTAATTGTATGTGATTTATAATTTATTTAATTTTATGTGATTTATAATTTATTTAATTGCGCATGATTTATAATTTATGTAATTGCGCATGATTTATAATTTATGCAATTGTATGTGATTTATAACTTATGTAATTGCACATGATTTATAATTTATGTAATTGTACATGATTTATAATTTATTTAATTGCGCATGATTTATAATTTATGTAATT